AATTTATACAATGCTGTCCGCTTTTCCGTTTAATTACGCACTTTCCACCTTCGTCGTGCGTCCAACGGAGAGACAAGTTAATTTTACGTCCTCTGAAACGGAGCGTTACGGCGTGTGCATGGCGAGTTGCATATAAACGACGCGCGGAATATCCCGGGCACGACGTTCCGGGCGAGCGCATGAATTGCGTGCGCTCCTGGACTTAGCATGTTTGGCACCGTTGCTAGCTGCCCGCTACTAACTGCAGACTGCGAATTCCCGCATTCGCGAAACCACGTCGTGGAAACGTGTTTGCTGACGCACGGCGATTTTGACGTTTGTACGTCAAAATTTGCCGCATTGTGCTGGGCATTCACCCCTGAGAATGACCGCCTTAATGCGCGCGCGGGACTCGCAAAGGCATCGCATTTCGGTTTTCCAATCTCGCCTCCATTATCTCTTTTACGTCCATCTTTCGTCTTTCCCCTCGTTTCCGCATTTTTTTCCCCCCTTTTCTCTCTTTCTCTTCCGCCCGTATTTTCCTCGATCGTTTCGCGCAGGCGAGAAGGGGAAGGGAGGGGAGGGGGGAGAGGTGGAGTTTCGCGTAACCGTGACTTTTCCACGCAACAAAAAGTCGTAAAATTCCCGAGGGCACCGGCAAAGTCCGTTGACTATCGATTTCACGTGTTTCCTTTCGGAAATTGCCTTGTTTTTCCCTCTCCCGTTCTCTTCTCGCTCCCCCTTTTCCTCTCCCTTTCTTCGTCTTCGTCCTCGCGCTTCGGGTCGCAGCGAAGATCGATACGATATCGCGGACCTCACGATCGCCTGGGTGGTCCTCCACGCGCAGCACCGGCTTCTGGGACTGATTTAATTCGGCTACGTGGACCGCCTAATGCCATTCCCCGCTGCCGACCGGTAGATTCATCGTCCAGCGTACTCTCGTTCGCCTCTCTTCATTCTCTCCCGCGGCGGGGTACGGCGTGCGGCACTAATTTCTACATTACTGCTCCGAATTAAATTGTTTGTTGAAACGCAAAATTTTTTAAACGTAAGAACTGACATAAAATTTATTAATTTAAATCTCGTGAAAATAAGAAAATAAGAAAGCTATATTCGTCTCTCGAAAATGCAAGATCGTTTAACCCTCAAAGCATAAAATCCTCGTTGAATTATCCATCAATCGATTAATCATCCCCCTTTGTTCCCTCTTCCACCGTTTGCGCTCTTCTTAACGAATATCAATTTGACTGCCGTCTAGCCCGTTTCTTCGCATGGGCGGAAGTTATCGGGCGAGCTGGCGAAGGGCGCGAGGACAGGCGGGAAGAAAGAAAGAAAGAAAGAAAGAGAGCGGCGGCGGGGGAGGAGGTGGAGAAGGACGCTTTAAATCGCGAGGCTCGCCCGAGCCGTCCGAGTAATCCAGACAGATGGGACTCGTTAATAGAACGCGCGAGTAATTTGCAAGAAATCTAATAACACCGTGGCCTCCCATCCCTCCCTTCCCCCCGCCCTCCCACTAATTCGTGGCTTGACTTTCCGCCTCGCAGCCCCCTTTCTCCTTCCTGCGCCCACACCCTGGCCGATCCTTCGTCCGAGGACCGTCTAACTGACAATACACGGGCGCCGTGCTCGTGAAATTAAAATTCGCCTGGGGTCGTACACGACGTTCTCGTAACAGCGCTTGGCCGTCTCGCCCCGCGTACGTGTGAGTGCGTGTGTCCAGGTGGTCGTGAGAGGGAACGCGATGTAGCGATGGCGCCGATACTCTCGCGAGTTATTTCGAATACACAGCACGAAAGTTTGTGATCAAGTCTATGGGCAATCAGTTTTTTTTTATACATATATCCGCTATATTTTTCGATTACTGTCAATCAGCCGATCTTGATCGATGTATTGTCATGCCCGTATTTCAGTTTCGCAATCGCGAAAAATAAATATTGTTCTAGAAAATCTTTCGTCTTTTTTCAGTTTCTCTTGTTCCACTATAATTTATAAAAAAAAAAAAAGAAGATCCCTTGTTACTTTTAATATTTTTAATAATAAGTATATTGTTTTTATTTATTCAAGATGAAACTTCTTGGTCTTGCTGCCCCTGCAGATTCCTTCTAACTAGAAGTCTGGCTTTTATTTCAGGTTTGCTCGAAAGACAAGGTAAATACCGGTAAGACAAACCTCTCCATCGCTACCGCGTGTCGGTACACGGGCGTGTGCGTGCATGCGTACACTGCAGCCCGCGTGGAAGAGAGAAAAGACGACGCGGGGGAGCGCGGAACTCGTTAAGCAGTTTGCGGTTCGTCCCGTCCTTTTTTTTTTCCACCCAGGCTCGCCTTTAACGTAAACATATTCCGCGAAGAGATCAGCATCTTTCTCCCTGCGCGCACCGCTTTTTCTTCTTCTTTATTTCGCCTACCGGTGTCTTCTCCTCCCCCTCTCCCCCTTTCCGCCCTTTCCCTCCCTCCCCTCCCCCCCCGCCCGTCCGCGCGTCTTTGTTTCTTATTACGCGTCGGTTTCTGGTGTCCCGGTCCACCCACGACGCGCATCCGATTGAGCGCGCGAATCTCGCTGGTATCAATTTGGAAGACAATTCTCTACATTAGTCCATCATTAAGTCGGGAACAACGAGACGCGTAATGATCGTATCTTTAAATTAGCAGAGGCACATCCGTTCCCTTCGTTCGCTTTATCTTCGAGGACGATTATCGTAAGCATTCCGCTCGAATTCTGTTTTTAATAAGTACAAAAAGTGGAATGGACCGTTTCTCGAAACGCGGCTCACGAGGCTCGTTTTATTCGACCATTTTGAAATTTTACAACGAAAAGATGCGCGTGTAATCACAATGTGACGCGAGACGGGATACAGATGGCTCCGTTTAAGCGCTGTGAGAATGCGGGCCTATGATCGCGAAAATATACGATCGATACACGATCGTACTATCGAGGTATGCAACGGGGCGATCCGGCCAGATTAGACCGCCGATTAAAATTCACGGCGTGTCCAGGCAGCATAATTTGATTTCGTAGGTGTTCGTGCAGATCAAGTTACGCGAGTCGAGTGGAATCACGGGGGAGGACTACTCGCGCGCGCGCGCGCGCGCGCGCATTCATTTCCTTTTTCTCTCCCCATCGGGCAAAGAAATGCGAAACGCGCGGCCCCGCGGGGCCACCTTACTCGACGACCGGATAACAAACTTGACGACTATTAAAATTGAAACGCGCTCATTATCGATTCGCTACGCTAATCGAGCATGGCGGAGCGCGGGACTCACGGATTCCGTGAGGCTCGGGTTACACGGACTCGATTATTTCGTTCGATTAGGCACGAGATCGCAGCGGCACGGCATTTTCTCGCAACGACGATCTCGATCTCACCTCTGCCTCTGCCTTTGCCCGGCCGTAAATTGCACACCTCGTAAATACTTCTGCGACGTCCCCTTATTTAGAGCGTCGTGTTATCGTCGTGAAATATAGTAAAAACATAGTAAATATGAATGCATCGACATCCGGTTATTTTCAAAATCTATTAAACCACCCGCTTATCACGTTTAAATTATCCAAGCACAAAAATAGACTACTTTAACATTCGGCTTTAAATTATAAATGATAATAGAGTTACAAATTAGAATAAATTATTATGTATGAAATAATTTATGGAAATAATATTTAAAAAAAAAAGATTCTGTAATTCATATCACGATACAACATCTTACATGACACAAAATTAGAAATCAAGAGTGTTCAATATGCATATTCTCTGGTTACTTTCCCGATTCTGGGAAACGAGTTCGGAGCGCCAATTAATTATGCGCATTCGTCAATCGTATCTTATGAGATTGCCGTGCCGTGCCCGGCAATTCCGGGTTGTTTTGGATTAGCGAGTGGTCCGATGTGTCGGCCGCGAGGTGGTGATGGTGGCCGGGTCCCTCCATCAGTCTGGATCGGTCCGCATTAAGAATCGGACAGCATTAAAAGCGTTGTTTAGTAGGCTATTTTAAATTTTAATTCCCGCGGTCGGCAACGTAATCGAGGTGTGGAATAGATTAGTTTTCGCTCACACTGTCAGCTACTTGCCGCGGGCCTTCGACTGACTGACTGACTAACCGACTGACTGACCGACTGACTGACTAACCGACTAGATCGCAAGGTGACAGATAACTTTCTCCTTTTTTTATCTCGATCTTCTTTTTGTTCTTCCTCCATTTCTCTCTCGTTTATTTTGTCTCATCTTTTCTTTTAATCCTATAAATTTTATATTTTAATTATTTTTGAAAAATTATTGCAAACCGTTGTTATATGCATTATTATATGCAAACAATTTGTTATATACTTGCATTTTTTTTATAAAAAGTACATAAACCATATAAATTTAAAATAACAATTTTAAATTGAGTAAAGTAACCACGATGCTGTAAATGTGCTACAAGAGTATAAATAAAATATAAAATTATGAGTAATTTAAAATATCAATTTAATAAATAGAATTTTTGCAAATGTAAAATCTATACATTTCTTATATTTTAGCAATTTTCATTTCTAGCAGGATTTGACTTTGCTATGTTTAATAATAAAAATTAAATCTCATAAATTCCTTCAGATTAATTGTACCTTTCGTGAAATATTTTATAGCGACTCCTGAAGGAATAAAAAAATCATTATTCGATATAATTACTCTAATTTAGCCTGTCTAAAATTTTCTCAATTACTTCTAGGGAGGAACGGCAATGACAAACGACGGAGGGTCAAGCTCGCCCGATGAAGATGCTGCGCGAGATCACGCCCGAGAACTCGTTCGCGAAAAAAAATAAAGGAAGCGTGGCCGCGGTTCAAGGTCGCTCGTCTGGACCAAATTCGGAGCTCGTTGTTGCCGCGGTAAAAAGAAGAGGGATGATCGATGGTGAGAATCGACTGGGCTAGTCACTGTGGCTTCGTACAGGAGAAGACATCACCTTGCGGAGGAGGTGCCAGGACTCTACATTCGGCGTCTAACGCTCGAGGATCCCAGGAGGAGGGAACCGTCCGGTTCAAGGTCGCAGTCCCCCGCGCGCCATATCTGTCATCCTCGTAGCGGTTGCGCGCGCTCGGTGCGAGGATCGAGGTATCGGAGCGGATCGGGGATCTAACACGTACTCAAGACCCTCGACAAATTTACAACCGACCTCGCTGTAACTGTAACGAGTCGCGTCCAGTTTGCGGGCGATGATTGACAAGTTAGATCTCCGCACCTCACAGCTCTCATCGTCCTATTAAAATGCGAACCGGCAATTAAGCGATCAAAAACTGGTCCCGAAGAATTTTCGCCGGTTTCGACTACATTTAGGAGGAGAGCGCTTTAAACGCGCCGTTTTCATCTAGCTAGATTGAAAAAAAATTGTCTACAAACGACAACATAGTTTCTTTTACGAAAAAAAAAAACTATTCATTAAATTCTGCTCTTATCTTCCACATATCCTCTTTTCCTTTGCAGCTTGTGAAATAAGATTTACTAAAACATAACCCATAATAAGAGTTAACTAATTCTCGTCTGATTATTGAATGGTTAACATCGACCGTATATGAATTAACGTAATAATTGTGCTAAAGAGTCGAAGTTCTCGAGGCGATTGGCCGTTACGCGCAAGCCGAAGCCTAGCGAAGTCGCGTTGCTCACGATGAACACTCTCGCTAGGACCCCGTAATTAAACGTACTAAAATTTAACGGTCGGTCCGTTGGACGGACGATCGTTGCTGCGACTTAATAAAGCCTCACGGGCGATCGCACAGCCGGCACCATAACGTTATTAAAGTTGGTTCTCGCATTAAAATACGAGCGGTATATCGGTACGTCATTATCATCGACGTTTGATCTCCCTCCCCCTCATCGTCTCGCTCTCTCTCTCGTGTCCGCCTTTTCGCCGCCTTCCTTCGTCTACAATCTTCCCCCGTAACGTGGTGAACCTGACCTCCGCGCGAGATCCGGGCAATGTTACCGGGTTTATTGCGACTTTGGAACGTGCTCTCGTTTCTCGCGAAACGACCCGTCGCCGTCCAGCGTTTCGCCTATATTCCCTTTGATCTGCGTGCCTTCTCTTTCCTTTCCCTGGAAGTCTTTCCAAGCGACCGGCTACGCCTCATGGAACACGCTCTTTGCCCTCTTGGCAATTAGAGCTATTGCTCAATTCGGTAATCTGGAACAGTTTGCGGATCGCAGATCACGTCAAGTCTTGTGAATTCTTGATCGTGACGTTATTGAAAGTATCCGTACGTACCTGATGTATCGCTAATTATCTTGGTAAATCGCCAATTATCTTGGTAATAGAGTAAAATGAAAAATCTTTAAGATTATTACATATATTTATGTTATTATACGCTTTGATTGAAAAAGATACAAAATGTAAAATTAAACGTTTACATATAAGGAATTTGTATGCGATTCATAATGTATCTATCAAGCCAACGTTATTTATATTCTCCTGAAAAAGTCATCATTATAGCTTCTTTTAATTAACTTTCTGCTTTTTGCCGCTATTACTTCCAGTATTGCTTTTTGTTATTTTCATTCGCATTCCTTAATTTTTTTTGTGACATCGCATCCTTTTATTTTGAATGTTGCGATTCCATTTCAATTTATCCTTAATAAAATTTAGCCAAGAAGACTAAATAGCATATTCATTATTTGCAGCTGCAATATTTATTTTTCCTGATGAACGTAGAAAAATAAAAACAACGTGCCGCACTGATAAATTCACCGAATCATCTCTCGCCATGATTATTTTCGGTGTCCAGGGTATTATTTTTCCCCTCGAGCTCTTCCCGCGCTTCATTCTCCATCGCGCGAGCCCGCCTTTTTGCTCTCGCTATATTTTTTCATCCCCTCTTCTTATTCAGCTTGCGGTTCAAGGTCGTAATCTTCTCGAGACCTCCTTTCTTTCAACCAGTTCTCCGCTTCGTCTCTCTTTTAATCTTTTTCTTTGGTCGTTCTTGCGCCTTCGTTTTCGAAGTTCAA